CAAATGATGCGGTTCAGGTAAAAGAGAGTGTTGTGTGAAACACATTTGAGATGTTCCGGGGTGCTAGATGAACCCCTAACTCACAAATGAACCTCAGAAAACCACTGAGAAATTTTATGCCTGAAGGCAATCCTGCCCACCTTAAATCAATCATCAGGCAGCCTCTTATGAAGAAAAGAGCAAAGGAGTGCAAAGGGGGCCTGGGCTTGGGTCTTAGATCTGTTCCAAATGAACTGGGTCATCTGGAGGTTCCTGTAGCTGTTTCCTTCTCTACAAAATGGGGTGGTTGGGAGAATTCATGAGAAAATGTATGTACTGCTTTGTAATCTATAAGAGCATTGAAGGAATATGAGTTATTTGTTGCTTAGATAGTAAGCGATCATTAATTCAAATCCTATGATATAGAAAACAATACATTCGATGCTTAGCGTTCCCCTACTTCTGTCCCGTCATGACCACCACTGCACATACCCCAACCCACACAATCCTGTAAGAGGGGTGTTATTTTCATTCTATGCATCAGGAAAATGAGATTCAGAATCATTGAATAACTTGCTCAAGGTCACACAGCTAGTAAGTGGCCACGCCTAAGTTTCAATGGCATTCTCTCTGTTTTCAAAGCCCATTTTCTTTGTGCTAGTACAATGATGCAGAAACCACACAACGCTTCAGAAAAATGTACTTTTCTCAAATCGCCTCTTATAAACTAGAGAGAGAAAAGAATGTAAAGAAGCTACTGCTGCATTAAAGGAAAGCTGAACTGCAGAGGCTTACATGGCTCTCCTGAGGCTGTGATGTGGGAAGAAGTGGCAGGGTCCTGCCACGTCTGCTCAGAAAGCACTTCCTCCACTGTGCTCAGGACTTAATCAGGGAAGGACAGAAGGGGATCCTTCCCTTTTTTTCTGAGATGATCTCACTTGAGAGGCTGAACAGCAAATGAAAACATCTTGTTTTGAGAGAAAAGTGTCTGTGGAGACTTCCCTTTCAGACACCATAATCATCCCACTGAAATGAATTCCAAATTGAGCTGAATTACCATGTCTGGGAGATATTTAATGTGGTAGACAAATAATATCTTCCTTTGCCCCTCCCCCCCCCAAAAAGCTCACATCCTCATCCTAAAACTTGTGAATATGTTCCTTTACATGACAAAGGGTCTCCTTTGCAAATGTGATTAAGGACCTTGAGAGGGGGAGATTATTCTGGATTATCTAGGGGGTCCAATATTATAACATGGGCCTTAAAAGAAATAACAACCTAAGCTGGGCACAGTGGTTCATGCCTGTAATCCCAGCACTTTGGGAGACTGAGGCAGGCAGATCACTTGAGGTCAGCAGTTTGAGACTAGCCTGGCCAATATGGTCTCTACTAAAAATACAAAAATTATGCAGGCATGGTGGCAGGTGCTTCTAATTCCAGCAACCTGGGAGGCTGAGACAGGAGAATTGCTTGAGCCCAGGATGTGGAGGTTTCAGTGAGCTGAGATCATGTCATTGCACTTCAGCCTGGGTGACAGAGCAAGACTCTGTCACCAAAAAAAAATAAAAATAAAAAAAATAACTTAAAATATTAGAAGTTAAAAAAAGCAAGAACTTTTTCTGGTATAGTAAGAGTGAGACATGACTACAGAAGAAATGCACAGAGTGATGCTGGACTATTGCTGGCTTTGAAAAGGCAGAAGGGGGGCCTGGAGCCCAGGAACGCAGGCTTTCGCTAGAAGCTGAAAAGGGCCAGGAAGCAGCCTCTCTCCTAGAGCCTTCAGAGGACAGGCAGCCCTGCCGGCATCTTGAGTGTTGCTCAGTGAGACCCATGGTGGACCCACAGAACTGCAAGATAATAAATCTGTATTACTTTAGTCTACTAAGTTTGTTGTAATCAGTTAAACAAAGCAATAGAAAACTAATACATTCAGGATAATTACTGGTTGAAAAGTTTCTTAGTCTGTGTGGCAGAACATTTCTGAAAGGTCTGATCCTCTTTCGTCACTCTCCATTTCCAGTTAGGCCCCACATCTTGATTCTGCTTGTAGAAATGACACCTGTGACATAAGCTATTACCTTTGAAGACTGGCTTTGTGCCAGGCTCTTGCTGTACATTTCCATACATTTTCTTCAATCTTTACACCAACGTTTGCCAAGCAGTATACCTCCTTTTTTATCAGATGAGGAATTGAGACTCTGGGAGGCTAAGTGACCTGCCTAGGCAGAAACAGGGGAACCAGCATCCAAACTCCCTTGTCCTCTCTGGCAGGCAGCTCTGGGAGGAACTTCATTAGCATTCTGGAAGCCAGCTCTCCCTCTCTCTCCTCACACATGGTCCTGGCGTAGATTCTTATATCCTGCTGAATTGATATCAACATCGTTTGTGTGCGGTAATACCTGAGGTTTGTTGCTTCATATCAAGGAAATTAAGAATGCAGACACACAGCAAGAGAGGAGTTTAAGAGCCGAAATGTAATAGGCAAAAGAGAAAAAGCTCCCTTGTGCAGAGGAAAGAGGTTCAGAATGGATCTCCTGGTTCCCAGTGAGCTTGAGGAGGCAGTGTCTGATTTACATAGGGCACAGAGGATTGGTTGGACCAGGTGTTTCATTTGCATAGTGCATGAGAAGCTAGCTGCTCCACCCTAACCTTTTAATATGCAAATGAGCTCTCTACCTGGCCTGCACAGTTGCCTGCTTCTTTACTGCACACATGGTGACAAAGAAAAGGGAAGAGGGAGCCTCCATGCCAAACATACCTGGCTTCCAGGTGGTCCTTTTCTGTTGGCACTGCTGCCGGCATTTACCTATGCGAGCTTCCAGGTTGCTTATCTATGTTTGCTGCTTGATTTTTCAGGCTGCTTTCTGTTAGTAAAGAAAATTATTTGGGGGCTGCTTTTTATTAAAAGCAAATTCCACTGAGAACTCTCTTACCCTCACTAACTGCCTAAATAATTTCTTCTTAGCTCCTGTATCACTGCCAGGGTTATGTCTCATGATTCCCAAGATGTCTCCCACCTCAGCTGTCCCTGACAATTTGTTATGCACAGAAGGCCGAACAACTTGTCGAATTCACAGTACTGTTCTTGTCACTTCTCTGCCTAAACCCTCCCAGGGCTCCCCACTTAATGTTCCATAAATCCAACCTTCTTAGCATAGCATTCAAAGCCCTTCACAATCCAGCTGAGTTCAATCCTCTCCTTCTAACTCTTCATGCTACAGACTCATCAGCATGTTAGCCTTGCACCAGAATATGCCATGGGCTTTCCCTCACCATATATATGAACCTCCTTGTGTGACAGAGTAGGAAACCGTGGATTATAGATGTGAACGTAGCCACCCTAGGTCACATAGTTTGAATGAAACAGAGTCAACACTAGATCCAAGTTCCACGTTAGACCACTCTGGAGCCTGAAAGATATCATCTCTGATCCCTCCACCTCCCTTCTCTACTGCCATTACTGAGTGAGCACAGTGACCCTCTCTTGTGGAGAGGGCTACAGTACTTCTAATCCATTCTCCATATGGAATGGAAATCTAACTTTTCCTCTCCACTGCTTAAAATTCTTCAATAGCTATCCATTGCCCTTAAAATAAAGACCCAAACTCTTAAGGATATGGCCCCTGTGTGACTTTCCAGCTCCATCTTAGGACCCTCTGCCTCTCACTATGCTGCTGTCTTTTAGACTCCTCTCTGTGCCTTGCATCTTCCCACCATGGGGCCTTTGCACATGCCATCTTCTGTCTGGGAGCTCTTTCTTCTCTTCTTCTTCTGTCATTTCCCAACAGCCACCTTCCCCAAATGCCTCTCTGATGCCAGACTGGGTGCAGGCCTTCTGTAAGGCGTTCTTTCTCTGCTCCCAGGATTTTGTTTCTATTTAGTCTATAAGTCTGTAATGATCTACGTGTGTGATTGTTTATGTCTTCTCTCTGTCAAGTTCTGTGTTTGAGCAAGGTCTTTATTTGTTCACTTTTGTATCCCCAGTGCTGACCACAGCACCTGGAATGAGGATGGAACTCGGTAAATATCTGTTAAATGAATAAGCACCAAATGGCCTCAGTTGCGAAGGAGATCTTGTAATTTCCATGTTATGTGTCTTATAAAGAAAAGAGCAAGGGAGGTACCAATGTTTCAACCACTGGTGACACAGAACTGGATATTCCATCTGGCGGGTTGTTTGTTGTTTTTGTTGTTTTTATTGCTGGTATTAATTTTGTTTTGCTTTGTTTGGGGGAAAAGATTGAAATGTTGTAAAATACATAAACACAATCTTTCTGAAACAGATTTAAGCTGTAAGAAAACTCTAAGCCGTCAAATGAATAAATTTAAATGAATCTTATTTAAGAACACAAGTAGGAACTCATGACAACTTCTTGGGAAATGGGCTTTAAAAAAAAAACTATAGTATCTTTAGCACCAGGGCTGCACAATTAGGCATAGAACATTATTTAATTTGTACATGCAGGACAGGCATATGCAATCTACTATGTATAGAACACCAGACAGAGCTGATTCCAAAATTATCATTGCTTTCCACTTCTTCTCACACATTTCTTAAGATACCATCTGATCCAAAAGTGTTTCAAGTACTGCTCCAGGCTTTTAGCATTTGGATGGCTTTTGACATCAGAGGAGAGTTAATCATCTCTGTTTAACTTAGAAGGATTTTCAACTTTTAGCTTGCTTTTATTATGAATTTGAAAAATGTACCTTTTGTCAAGAGTTTACCTGTCATCGTCCTGTCCACAATCCAGCAGAAAGTATAATAATACCTTACTTTCAAATTAATCCTAAAATAATGCTGTTCTGCTTGTCAACATCACCAGAGGTATAGTCATACTTTTCCCTAAACCTCATCTGTGAAATACATGCCTTATCTGGTGCCTTTCTTGGGTGACTCATAATTTGAAGATAAAATCACATATTGGGCAGCTGTTGGAGTGAAAAATCCATGGTGGTAGGGTGACATGTTTGTCTTTGCCGTATCCTCACTGCCTAGCACATAGGAGACACTCAATGAGTATTTTTAAATGGACACATAAGTTTATTAAACTTTTTACATGAAAAATAATACCTTATTTATGAGGTTTTGGGAGAAATAGACAAGAAATAAAAAAATGATGCTACTGAAAGATCATCATTAACATCTTGGCATATTCTTCCTGACATTTTTTGCTATGCCTGTATATATATTTTCTTTTTACAACATGCTATACAGTTTTCTAACTTGTATATTTTCTTACTTACAATGTATGTATTCAATGTATATATTCCATGCCATCAAGTCTTTTTAACTACATCATTAATTATGGCTGTGCAATATGGCACAGTAAGAATGAATGAGTTTGTGTAACCAATCCCACTGGAAAACATTGCCAATGCAGTAAATGCACCATTTCAGCATTTGAGGAAAACAGGGGATTATGGCTACTAGTTGGGTGAGCATCCAGGGCCAGGATTCAGTGAAAAACGCCTGAGTCTAAAATCACACACAACATTCTTTCAGTCTTTCTTTGATGGACCAGGAACATTCTAAAAATGACTTTCTCTGTAGAAGTAAATCTTACCCTTCAGAAGAGTTACATCTGTGCTAGGCTGTCAAACAAAAGAGCAGCCCTGGTGTTTCTGGTGTCAACAAGGGAGCTCCCATCGAGCCTCCCAATACCAAATGGCTCTTGCTGCTAGAAAGAACAAATGGTTGTCATATTGATTTGCGTATGAGGCCAAAAATTGTGCATGGGAATTGAGACCAAATATTCCAATTCTTCTGTTTCCTTATTATATCTGAGAAAACCTGCCACTCATTTCAAGTCCCTGCCTTAGGTAGGGTGGCAGATCTAGATTGTGTTATGAAGATCAGAGGTTTACATTCAAGAAAAACTGACCCCATTTGACAAATGCATAGGATATCAATTCTAAGACTGGTTTTGAAATTAATTTGTGCTTAAGTGGCTGGGTGTGGTGGCTTGTGCCTCTAATCCTAGCACTTTAGGAGGCTGAGGTGGGCAGTCACTTGAGGCCAGGAGTTCTAGACTAGCCTAGCCAACCTGGTGAAACCCATCTCTACTAAAAATTAAAAAAAAAAAAAAAAAGAAAATTAGCTGGGTGTGGTCGCAAGTGCCTGTAATCCCAGTTACTCAGGAGGCTGGGGCATGAGAATTGCCTAAACCGAGGAGGCAGTTTGCAGTAAGCAGAGATTGCGCCACTGTACTGTAGCCTGGGCAACAGAGTAAGACTCTTTCTCAAATAAAATAAAATTTGTGCTTCAGATTCATGATGAAATCTGCCACATATAGTGGTCAGGCTAAGTGCTGAATAGGGCTGGGGATGGCCATTTGTATCATGATCTATGGGAACATCATACGTGGTGGGGCTTGTATATCTGGCAATAGAGAATTCCTTCTGATGGCATGGAGCTGCCCCTAACCCATCTACACAATTATTATATTTCATATGTCTTACAACATATTATAAAGTTCCTACCTGGAAATTGCCACAGAGCATAAATCAAAATATGTTTCTCCAGAATCAACTACTACTATCGAACATGTCCCACAAGTGTTGACTTTAATAGAAAATCCACAACATCCCATCTCTAGATGAAAATTTCAACAAAATGTATTTTAGATGATTTATGTGACATTGTTTGCAAGCCAGTTTCATAGCCTAAGTGAATGTGTTTTGTAAAGTATAAGGATATAGTTTACAAGATTAAGATATATGGGACAGGTTCAATATCTAATAATTTGCTATAATATTTTCAGTTGGTTTGCTTTAAAACTTTATTTTTTTCCGAGATGGAGTCTTGCTCTGCAAGGCTGGAGTGCAGTGGTGCCATCTTGGCTCACTGCAACCTCTGCCTCATGGTTCAAGCGATTTTCCTGTCTCAGCCTCCCAAGTGGCTGGGATTACAGGTGTGTGCTACCACACCCAGCTAACTTTTGTATTTTTAGTACAGATGGGTTTTCACCATGTTGGCCAGGCTGGTCTTGAACTCCTGGCCTCAAGTGATCTACATGCCTCAGCCTCCCCTCAGATTACAGGCGTGAACCACCACACCCAGCCTAAAATTTTATTTAAAATAAAGTACTTCTAATAAAATCTCAGACCCAGAACTCAGCTTCTCAGAATATAACCAATTACATAAAGAAAACATTCATCTAAGTCAATTTGAGGTCACTGTTGATTACCATGAGGTGAAAGTGCCTTGTTTCATGCAGCATGCCTTACATCTTACAAGTTTGAAACTTGGTGGCAGGGGTTACAGCAGAGAGGGAATGGAATTTCCTTTCCATCTCTTCTAAGAAGCATTGATCTGTCTGCCCTCTTAGCACTCAGCATGGTGCCATGCATGGGACATGTTCTTAGATGCTCCCGGATGAGGCAGAGAGGATTAGTATAAGGGGGAGGGTCTGGGTCTTCCGTGACCTTCTATGAGCCCACAACGATCCTTCGGCTGATGGCTCCTGGCAAGGTGTAGATGAAAAGGACCAGGAAGATGATGAGGATGATCAGAATGAAACCAATGATGATGTACTTCTTGTAATTCTTCCAGATGAGGTGGTACAGGCACTTAAAGGGGCTCATGAACCAGGAAAAGGAGGTGTCTGGGCGGCTGAGGGGGAAAGAAGAGAAAATCAAAAAGGGGGTCATGCTGTCAACACAGAATGCTTAAGACCCCAGGAAGTGTTTCTGACTCCCAGTTTCTGAGAGGCACATAGGGAGAGGCCTGAAAATGGGAGAAGAGCATGTTGCCTGAAGCAGGAGCAGCCTAACACTTGTATGATGAGGATTCCTGTATCACAGTAAAGACGCGGTTGGTGTGGAGCAGAGGGCAAGAGGCCAGTTAGAACCCAGCCCAAGGCTCCACCACCCTCCATCTGTCCAACCTGCCAGCTCAGATCCCACCTTTTCTATGAAGTCTTTCCTGACAGCCTCAGGCCCCGATGATTCCCTTCACTTCAAGTTCCTAACTCATTCATCGTTTGACTCATCCTCTTTTGAGACTACAGCGTCTTCTACACCCTGACAACTATTTTATGAGTGTCTGTTTTATGTTCCCCAAATAGATTGAAAGCTCCTGGAAGGCATGGTTGATGTCTTGTATTTCTTCTTATATTTAGCTTTTTATTCAAAAAGCCACACAGGTTGGAAGGCACCCATTGACTGCCACCTGGCTTCCCAGTTCTACAGGGCTGCTCTTAAGAAATGCCCATATCAGACACCAACAAGGACTGTAAAGGCCCCTTCCCATTTCTGTCCCCACTCACAACTCCACTCACTTGGGCTTGGCCAGGGGCTCTGGCTCCTTTCGAGCTTTTCCAACAGGATTCTTCTCAGCTTCTTCTGCTGTGACTAGGTGGAACTCAGCTTCGACCTTGCCCTGTAAAAAGATGCAAAAGCTTTTGTTTCTAGTCACAAAGACCCACTGGGCCAATGACAACCTTCTAGAAGTGTTATCAGGTTGGAGAATTCCAGAAAGTATTTTGATTCTTCTGCTACTTTATTTTGATAAATAATGTTGCTTTTTTGGTCCTGGGAGAAACCATTTTTATTGGGAACAGTAAAAGCCTAGGAATGATGTTATTTCAAGATCTGTGGAAGGAAAGGGTCTTATGTCTCCACACAGACACACAAGCTGAGTCACATGTACTACTCTTCTTGTAAACACCTGATGTCTGAAGAAATAATACAGTAATTAGAAAGGGGATTAATTCCTTGAGTGGCAGACCCTTTTGAATCTGTTACAGTCTTTCTTCTCTGTCAATTCTTAGGAAATTGGTGAGAGTGGCCCCATATTTGCTGAATGGCTTTTCTTTTCTGTTATTCTTCACTTTTTTTGTGGTCCCCACTAGTGATTTTAGGGTTATTCTTTTATTATAGCACCCCTCCCTCTTGCCTCAATAAGAAATGGCCTATTTTATTTGAAAATCGTGAGTAATGTGTTTCTTTAGAGCACTATGCCACAGTTCTTGGCAGGGATGTGTCTTGATTTATCAAAGGATGAGACAGGACCCCCCCAAAAAATTAAGAGCCATCCTCTCTTGTTCAGTCATTCATTTAGCACTTTTGGGGAGCCTTGTTATGCCATGTACTGTTCTAGGCACTAGATATTTAACAATGATTAAGAAAAACAATTTCTGATCTCCTGAAGCTCCTATTCTTGGTGACAGAGACCCTCATTTTTCCTGACTCTTATGGTTTTGTGCATTGAAATTCAAGGTGATAATAGGAGGGAGGCATGACTGATTTCTTACCCCAGTATAAAAGTCTAAGATTCTGCTGAGCTAATGGTCTTGTGTTAACTTACCCATTCACCCTAAAAAGGTCAAGACTTTTTCACAAGTAGGTTTGGTTGCTGGCAGCCATTATAATAATTATAATGTAATTGTGGGAGATATAAGAAAGATATAGAATACATGGGATAAGGTTGAGGGGAAAGAGGAGAGAGGGAGTGGCATGGCTTCCTGAGTTAGTAAAGACATGCAGTGGACTTTTATTACAGTCAAATTATGAGTTAAAATCTAGATGGTCTCATTCATCCTTTGAACTGAAACCCTGGCCCAACTCAGAGTAGCATTAAGTGTCCTATGATCCAGAAATGTTTCATGAGTATCTGTATATACGTAGTCTCTCATTCCTGTTGAGAAACCTTAGCCTGAAAGGCAATGACTTGTGCATATAGGCTTTCAGAAAATATTTGAAAACCATAGGAAAAAAGAATATAAAGCTTCTATTGATTTTAACTCCTCCTTTATTCATGCATCAATAGTGGGGTAATAATATCTAACTGCAATTGCAATGCTTTACTGATCGCTCACTTTGTCCCAGGTTTGTTCATTCTGTCATCTGTCTGTCTACCATAGGAATAAGCAAGGTAGGTCTCCCTGATGTAGATGAAGAGATGAAACTACAGAGATCAAATAAGTTTTCCAAGGTCACACAGGCAACAAGCCAACCAACTGGAATTTCAACCCAGGTCTATATGATTCCAAAGCTCATACTCTTTCCATCATAGCAGGCTGCCTCCCAACTTATTCATTTAATTGCCAGAAAATTAGACTAGAAGGTTTATAAGAGTCTGCCTAGCTCTATTCCATAATTGTCCTCATAATCACCATCCAGTGGCACTTTTCTTCTTGAGTCTCAGTTTTCTCCTTTGTCAGACAGTCAGATGCTTTCTAAGGCTATCTGGCCCTAACTTCTAGGGTTGATGAAAGGCAGAGGTCAAGTTTAAGGGGCCCTTGAAAGACTTGATGGCTGAAAGAGACTCAAGAAATAAATCCAAAACTCATGGCGAATTGGTCTCCAACGTACAAAACAAAACAGACTTATTTCCAGAGATCTTTCACAGGTAACTTAAGCTCCACTGAGCAGTGTGTTATACACTAGGAACTTCATCCAATTCCTCTAATTTGAAATAGAGTCAGCTTAAGAGGAGCTAACCAATTGCTACTCTCCAGAATGCTTGGAAGAGAGCACAGAAATCAATGGAGAATAAGTTAGGGCCACAATAAAAGGATTGCACCTGCCCCTTTGTTCTCTACTTTTTTTTTTTTTTCTGAGACAGAGTCTTGCTCTGTCACCAGGGTGGACTGCAGTGGCACCATCTTGGCTCACTGCAACCTCTGCCTCCTGCTTCAAGCAATTCTCTGCTTCAGCCTCCCAAATAGCTGGGATTACAGGTGCCTGCCACCACACCCAGATAATTTTTGTATTTTCAGTAGAGACAGGGTTTCACCATCTTGGCCAGGCTGGCCTTAAACACCTGACCTCATGATCCACCTGCCTCGGCCTCCCAAAGTGCTGGGATCACAGGTGTCAGCCACTGTGCTCGGCCTGTTCTCTACTCTTAACAATAAACTCAGCACTGGCTCATTATAACTCATTTAACCTTTCTGGCAATCTGACAGAGTAGATGACATTTTTATTACCATTTTACAGCTGAGGAAACCAAGGCTTGGTGATGTGTGCCTACTGATGTTACAAAACCAGGATTTCCACCAAGGTCCTTTGATGCCAAGCCCCATTCCTCTGCTACTTTACATGTCTAAGTGGCACCTTGTTGTGGAAGAAAAAAAGTAGGCTATTTATTTAATAGAGAATAAATGTGCCTTTCCTGAAATATTCAAGAGGAAGCCCATAATTGCTGCCATTGCTCTGGCATTAGTATATGCTTTTGATCTCTATGGGCTGGCTTAGGATAGCTTAAGTAATATTACAGCATAACATAACATGGTATGGCATAGCATAGCCCAGCCCAGCCCAGCCCAGCCCAGCCCAGCCCAGCCCAGCCCAGCCCAGCCCAGCCCAGCACAGCATAGCAAATAGTCCAGTGAAAAGGACTATTCTGTGAATAGTCCAGTGAATAGACAGATCTGCATTTGAAACAAGGCTCTACAATTTACTAGCTGTGTGATCTTGGGTCAGTCACCTGCCCTCTTTAATTCTCACTTTACTGAGGCTGTTAACAGCATATAACTCTATAAGGTTGCTTTGAAAAATAAATGAAATAAACATATGCAGTGCTTAGCCTAGGGTCTGTTAAGTAGAAAGCCTTTAACTATGGCAGTTGTTAACTTAAACACAGTTTCATCCACAGTAACATGTAGTTTCACAGAAAACATCTTCTGCCAATAGACAAAATACCAGAGAAGTCCCACAGGCCCAGATTCCTGTAGGAAAAGAAATGCAAAGAAAAGTGAGTCAGATGCTATTAAACTACTTCTGCCCTAGAGATAGGAGTCATTTGTTATCATCATGAAGAGCCTTGCACCAGCTCCACCACCCTGCTAGGATGATCGCAGTGTATCTATCGGGCATTGGGAAGGCTGCAGGGGGAAGGTGTTACACTGACAGCTTTGATAAATGCTGTTGCTCTGCGTATCGCTCCACACAGAGGTTTCCCGTCCTATTTCAACCATCAGTATTCAGCTCAGCACCAAGCAGAGGTCATAAGCGAATATCCTCTAAATGTAATTTAAAATCAGCTAGTAAAAATGGACAGTTTGAGAGACGCTCTATGAGCCTAATGATACCTGTGGATGGGAGAAAATGATAAGAAAAGATCCTTTAGAGGACTATGGATTTGTCATACCACATATATAATTGACGTGCCAAACTTCATTGTGCCTAGAGAAGGGATGACTTCCGAGGCCGAGAAGTGACTGCATTCGGAATGGACATGCCTTCTTCAGCAGTAATTATTGCTTATTAAAACACACCCTTGACTGGAATTATATGAGGCATTCTCATATATTAATGAAGTATTCTGACAAAATATTTTAGGAAAAGGAATATATATATATACACATTGTATATACACATTATATATGTATACATGTATTTATGTGTATATGTAGTTATATCCACATACACACATGTATATACACATACAAGATCATATATGACCACACAAGATAATACACACATATGTAGTTGTATACATGTATATATGACTAATTTATTTCCAGTTGATGAGGGAAAGCTCTTTTTAACAGATAAATGCCAACCAATAAATGGAGAAAAAATGATAGATTTTTAATTTTTTTATTGCATTTTAGGTTTTGGGGTACATGTGAAGAACATGCAAGATTGTTGCATAGGTACACACATGGCAGTGTAATTTGCTGCCTTCCTCCCCATCACCTATATCTGGCATTTCTCCCCATGCTATCTCTCCCCAACTCCCCATGCCCTGCTGTCCCTCCCCTATTTCCCCCCGACAGACACGGGATTTAGATAGATTGATAGATAGCTAGACAGACAGATGAAAGAAAGGGTTAGAAAAATTATTTTATAAAACCAATGAAATAAGATCATCAGTGGTTATTAAAGCCTTTGGGTGGAGGTGGCAGCACAACAGGAATTCGCCACAGCGCCATGTTACCCACCACATTTACTATGTAAAGGTAACTAAAATTTATGCATAGAGACAATATTAGAAGTAACCAACCATTAGCAAGAGTTTTCTTTAGATGGTATGCTTATGTGTGCTATTTACCTTTTTGCGCTTTTCACATTTCCTATACATGTGCATTATACACTCTATCTTAAAAATAATCTTTATGTAAAAATCTCTCTCTCCTCTGCTCCTATCTGATCTTGCTAAATATTATTTAAATGCTCAATCTACCACCCTCCCTAGCTAAGTTGTGAACTTCAGGATGGTAGGAATTTATCTTATTCACTGTTGAATCTTTAGAACCTAACGTATGATTATGTAGCCATAGTAGATGCTCACAGCTGTTTTTCACACCAAATTGGAAGCACAGAAACCTCCCTTTGAGTTTTAGTTGTTGATGCATGGGGGATGGAATTGACCTTGGCTGCCTGTCAATTTGTGGGATTAACTTTTAAAAGAAAATTTTTGATCTCTATCTC